AAATGATGGATACAGTAGGTGAGTAATGATAGATACAGTATGTGAGAAATGATGGATACAGTATGTGACTAATGTTGGATACAGTATATGCGTAATGTTGGATACGGTATGTAAGAAATATTGGATACAGTATGTAATTAATGTTGGATACAGTATGTGAGTAATGTTGGATACAGTATGTGAGTAATGTTGTATACAGTATGTGACTAATGTTCGATACAGTATATGAGAAATGTTGGACACAGTATGTAACTAATGTTGGATACAGTATGTTGATAATGTTGGATACAGTATGTTGAAAATGTTGGATACAGTATGCGTGTAATGTTGGATACAGTATGTGAGTAATGATGGATACATTATGTGAGTAACGTTGGATATGGTATGTGATGTCAGTAATGATGGATATCAAAAGTGAGTAATGATGGATACATTATATGAGTAATGATGGATGCAGTATGTGAGTAATGATGGATAAAGTATGTGAGTAATGCTGGATACAGTATGAGAGTAATGATGGATAAAGTACGCGAGTAATGATGGATACAGTATGTGAGTAATGATGGATACAGTATGTGAGTAATGATGGATACAGTATATGAGTAATGCTGGATACAGTATGTGAGTAATAATGAATACAGTATGTGAGTAATAATGGATACAGTATGTGAGTAATGATGCATATAGTATGTGACTAATGTTGGATACAGTATGTAAGAAATATTGGATACAGTATGTTGATAATGTTGGATACAGTATGTTGATAATGTTGGATACAGTATGTAACTAATGTTGGATACAGTATGTTGATAATGTTGGATACACTATGTTGCTAATGTTGGATACACTATGTGTGTAATGTTGGATACAGTATGTGAGTAATGATGGATACATTATGTGAGTAATGTTGGATACAGTATGTGAGTAATAATGGATACAGTATGTGAGTAATAATGGATACAGTATGTGAGTAATGATGGATACAGTATGTGAGTAATGCTGGATACAGATGTGACTAATGTTTTATACAGTATGTGAGTAATGTTGGATACAGTATGCGAGTAATGTTGGCAACAGTATGTGAGTAATGATGAATACATTATGTGAG